GAAATGAATTTTTTCGAACAATCTTTGTAAGCTAACGTACATTGCAAGTTTTTTAGTGCTCCCTTCAATAGGATAGCATGACCCCTCTATCGTGAGTAGTTGCACCGTGAGTAGTTGTACAAGAATGCCATTTTACAAAAACACCGAAATTACTTAAATGAATAGTTGAATTAATAAAACTCTTTTTGCTTTCATATTGCGTAGCTATCTCGAGAGATAAAAGTAAAAGTCAACTTGTGATCGTCAATACACGAGTTTGGGGGTCGAAATGTTCATTCAAAAGTTCTAGCTGCCATTTTCTGCAGACATTAATCCATTTGCTTTAATAAATTATGATTTCCTAGAGGTGTACAGCCCCCGTTGAATTTTGCCTCCAATTACGGTAATTAATGCACGATGAACACGCAACGTGTGCTCGGAAAATGTTGCTTCAGAAGAAACTCTCGTTATTAGATCATCTTCGTATTGCTTCGCTCTTAATTCTGATGAAGTGAAACAGAACCGCGTTTTTCTCGACAACAGTGGAATTATTGGGCATGGAAATTTGATACTTTGAAAATCACCAATATTTGAATTTCTTTTATTTCAAATCTCTAAATCTACGAATCTACCAATTTATAAATCTACAAATCTCCAAACCTATAAATCTACGAATCTTCAAACCACCAAATCTCTAACTCGGCACATTTAAAAATTTTCAAACCTCTGAATTGTCAAATCCACAAATTTATAAGTCTATAAATTTACGAATCCACACTTCTTCACATCCTCTAATAATTTAATAATATATTTGCTTCATTAAATCACATTAGGTATTCTGATACCACGAAATCGACCATTTAACCTACATCAAGCTAATAAAACGTTACCCAAAATGCTGTTTCACCATAATTTGATTAAATATAAAGTTTTCCTTGAAATTACGTGAAAGTACATCGGAGTTCACGGTATAGCAGCTGACGCAACCTACGTTGTCCCACGAGGTCATGGGAAGATGCAACAGTTTCGTCGTTTTGGTCGTTTTCATCGTGTAGAAACAGTTAGGAAGCTAATGCTGGTTGGCGCAGTAAAGAAAGAAGGTAATAATGGTAGCGGATGACGATCGAAATATTTCATTAGTTATATAGCAGTTTTGATAACAGGGTCCGGTTAAATGGTGTATATGATATCACGAAGTGACCGCGGAAAAGCGTTTCAGCATTCTATCGTCGGACACTGAAATGGTTTAACGGTACATTTCGCAGATGCGGGGACATTTTCTGAGAGAAATTACCGCGTGCTCGGGACATTATTCAAGAATATTTAGGGAAACGGGGATGGTAGGTAAGTGGGAGAAGCGAATATTGGCAGTCGTTAAAAAGTTTACCGGGTTTAATGAAATTTTGACGAGATACCAAATGATGGCTGCACTCGAGCTTTAAATCGGTTTAATAAAAACTTTGTTATGTTCTACTATAGATGTCAAAAATTTATGTTCTTTAAAACTAAAGAAGTAAATAACCTTTTTGAACCTTATTAAAATTCCATTTATTTCAATTTAAATACCAACATATCTCTACTTCTAATATATTGATCAGATACTGTGTACACTTACATAATTTTAGTAAACATTTTTATTCAGTAAATTTCCCTGAGTTTTATATAATTCTACCTCACGTGTGGGCAGAAATGAAAATTAAAATCGTGGAAAAAGGTCGCCAAGCAGAAGGAAATACATATGTACACGTACCAGCTGTCGAGCTTTTATGGAGATTAATTGAAATTTATTTAGATTGTAACGCACGTCCGTCCGAGAATGTATTACGCTGATTTATAAGCCGGATAAATTTTCGTTAGGATGTTGCATTGATAAAAGATGCGATGTCAGCCTACAACAATTTCCAACTGCGTTTAAGGGATGAAAAGAATGATTTATGTTCAGACGTCGGTAAGTCGATGTTACATTTGCGTTAGTCTGACAAATCAAATGGAACAATGTGATAACAGGTGTTCGTTTCCGAATCTACGAATTACAAGTTGAATAAAGGACTGATTTATGATGGAATGTCGTTGTTTTCGAGTTTTCTACAGCACATTGACATAATCATACACAATTCATGTATAGAAAATACGAAAGATTGATTGTATAGTTTAGAAAACATATGAAGAAATTATTCAGATTGAGTAATTGTGTGTTGAAAAGCAAAATAACGAGAGATTACTGTGCTTGTGGCGAAATAACTAGAGTTTATTGTTCTCGTGATCATATAACAAGAGTGTTCTCGTGGTCAAATAACGGGAGTTAGCTGTACTCAGTGCAAAATAATGAGAATTAATTATAATCGTAAACGAAAGTTTTTTATACTGGCAGTATCGGAAGTTTACTGCACTCGCTGCAAAATAAGTAGAATCTATTATAATCGTGGTAAAATAATGAGAGTATATTGTTCACTTGATAAAATATCGATAGTCTATTGTACTCGTGGCAACATAACGAGAGTCTACTATAAATGTGATGTATCATTCCGGCACTCTCCCTTATTTGACAAACGGAAGAAGAATTATAGGTAAAGTTATGTTCAGTGACGTGTTCGAATCGAGAATGGTTCAACCCTCGATTCTCTCGAATCGACGGGTGATTTTTCTAGAGTCGACACGGGTAGCCAGAAATTGCCAGCTAATTCGAGGAGTGGCAGAACGAAAAGGGAGAGAAACATCTGTCGATTGCTCGTACGTCGAACGATCGTAAACATTTAAAGGGCCGGATACCACAACAATAGATATATTTACACGAACGCGTGAATGCACCCCTTGGTCGAGATGTTACGTTCGAGGGTATGCTTCCAGTGATAAATTGCACTTCGACGATCACTTCCGTGTCGGTGTGCCACTCACTCGGACCGTTATTGTTTGGAAGAAATTTATGGTTTAATCGATGCTACGCTTGATCGTTTTCAACCCTTTAACAAAACTCGTGTACGATTAAAATCGAAAGTGGTTTTAACGTTGGGACGCCGATACAGGTATATATGTATGTACATACCTGGATTATTAACTCGGGAAAACTGGTTACCAGGGGAATGGGTTTTAGGAGGATGGTAAAATTATGAAGGGTTGTTTGTAAAAGGTAGCTCGGTTCTTGGATTAAGCTCAATGTTCATGTAAATCTTGTTATTTTGGTCAATATTTTGTTCGGAGATTAGCTTCGATTAGTTTGTGGCTACAGTCTGAGCCAGTAATGTGTATAATATTCTTTGTGGAACGTACAAATACATTGTTAGGTTATCCGAAGATCAATTAGTCGTGTAACAAATATCTGTGACAATTAAATTAGTATAAGAAATAGCTTTTTAAAAATACGTTACAGTTTTTGACTTTTCTATTTCTTTCGTGTGTTTTGCGTATGATTTTTCAGATACTGTAATTATGGTATCAGAAAATTTTTAAAATAGATTCTTTTTGTTAATAAATAAAAATGAATATGTATTAACTTTTTGCGCTCGAAAAATGCATCACACTTAGCATTCGATTTGATACAAAAATTTTAAATAAGTATTTTTTAATTAAATCTGTAGTGTTATACATATGGTGTATAAATGTAATAAATCAGACAATAATACTAATTAATAATAAAGAAATAATAACTTTAATAGAATTCATTACACTTTTGAACTAAAAGGTTTTAAAGTTGCAATCTGTCAATAGCAAAAATGTTCCTACTTTTAGATTAAAATTACAAATGTAAACAAGAAAAAAATATCGGAAGGTCATTAGCTTTTATCATTTTTCTGGTGTGAAGGAGGATAAATAGTACGCGCACTTCCATTTTATTATAAGTTTATCGAACAAAGTTGTTCTGTTTATTAGTCTAATATTGATTAATATCTATTTCTTATAAGACATGGTGTATCATTGTGTACACCAAACATTATTGAACCCATCTAGGTAAGATCACATATTAATATAAAATTTATCTACCTTTCTAATGACATATACAAAATATTTAATGTAAACAATTCTATATTATATCTTCGAATGTAGCTCTAAAATTCATTACTTTAATATGGATTAACATCAAATTGTTTGCAAGGTGCAAAATAAATATCAACATCGTCGTATATCGTTTACATTCGATGATATTAGACGCACCAGGTGCGTCATCAATAGTATTACACATTATTTGCTTAGTAGGTCAATATTGAACATACTATATGAGCTATTCATTGTATTGGGCAATATAGAGTGCACCAGAAACATAATCAATTCGGTCGTACTTCATAACGCACCTGATATGTCATTAATTGCATTTGGTATTATACGACGCACCTGATGTGTCATTGTTTGAATTAACACTAGATTTATGAAACGCATAAAAATGGCGGATATTAGATTTCTTATTTTAAATTATGAAAATTATTCGACAGCTTTCATCAAAATATTAACTTTCATCGATATAATGAACATTGTATGAACTAGTGTATGTATTATCTATTATTTAGTTATTTTTATAGTTTAGTTTCAATTTAAATATAAGTAGTAATTATACATCCGCAAATCTACGGTTAAGTTGGTAGTATAGAATACTTGTCATACGCTAATAAATAGTATAGAACGTACATGGTGTCATAAATTGCATTTGATGAACAGTATATGACGCATATGGTGCGTCATTAATTCTATTAAATACCCAAATCGTATGGTTAATAAGTCGTGGGTCATATACCTCTAGTACTAGAGTAGGTAAACTAATATTTAAGACACGTGACAATAAAAGAAATAAATCAAGGTACGTATAAAACGTAATATGCAATTCTTTATATCATAGTGAAAAATAAGTAAGGAAATTGGACAAATAATTGCATTCAAATAAATCTGTGTCAAATTTCCAATTGTGGATCATTAGTACAATAAAGTTGTTTCGAGTAATTTTACTTTTTTAATTAAGGACCGTTCCTTTCGTAAATGAGTTTATGATTGTCTTTGGACGAATTTAATAACGTCATTTCTGTTTTTTGTTACAGCTTCGGGAAGCGGACGGGTGGCAGCGCCAGAAGACCCAACGAATGCTTCGTCCTCGAGCCCTCCGAGATGATCGTCGTAAGTACTTACAATTACAATTTGCAATTAGAAACAACATTGTACCTTGCGAAATTTGTTACGCAAACCACGTTTTATGACCTACTAATTCGCGATGGCGAAAAATTCACACGCGATCTTTTCTACGCATCGGAAACTACACTTCAGCATTTAAAGTTTTCACAATTTACTATTTAGCTTGAGCAATTCTAATTTCATATGGTAGTAAATGATTTTCTTCTTTTATTGCGCTGCTTTAAATAACGTTTTGATACTGAAAAATTAATTCACCTTCATTTTTATAGAAATTTAAATTCCTGAAATTGAAAATGCATGAAGTTAATAATTTTTGGTGATTTTTTTATCGATTTATAGTAATACTAAGTATTTCTACGTTTTCCATTTTTCAAACTTCAAGATTACAAAATTTCTGAATTTTTTAATTTTAAAGATACCAAATTTCTATATTTTTAAATTTGAAGGTTACCAAATTTACACATATATTTTGAATTTCTAAATTTACAAATTATTAAATTACTAAATTACTAAATTACTAAATTACTAAATTACTAAATTACTGAATTATCAAATTTCCGAACTATAATAATATAAACTTTTGTAATTTTTTATACCAAGTAAATTAGTAAGTTTCTGAATTTTGTAATTTCAAAAATACCAAATTTCTACATATTTGATTTTTCAAATGATCAAATCATCAAATTTCTATGCTTCAAAATTTTCAAATATCTAAATTTTCGATTCATTAAATTATTAAATTATTAAGTTCTTAAATTTCTTACTCTAAATCTTGAAATTACTAATGTATCAAATTTAAAAATCTCCGAAGTACCAAGTTTCATAATTTTCTAGTTATCAATAATTCGTCATGCCTTTAATCAACAGTAGTTAACATATTAAATCAACAGCCTTTACACTAATAATAAGCGAAATAGTCAGTATCAAAATGAACAGGTATTTCTTACTTCCATTGTAACTTCTCTCTTCGAACATTTACATCATTGACCATTTCAACCTCTCAATTATCCACCTTACGAAACATCCTCAAAGTTATCTTATCACCTATAACACGTCTCTCGTATACGAACAAACAGAAGAAGCCATCCATCGCCTGTCCGTCGCCACGTTGTTTCCGCGTTCTTTTCAATTTTTCTCCGTCATTCGGTGAAAATCGACGAAATGGGCGTCCCTTATGGAAACGACGCACATAAAGCGAAGAATTGACACGGACGAACGGCAGAAATTTTTCTTTCTTTTTTCTCTTACCGTTTTGCCCCATATTCGTGGATGCACACAGGAGACACAGAAGAGAGAGAGAGTCCCTTGAAGCTCTGTTGCCGCCACGTTGCTTGCAAACTATTCCATAGTGACGATATCGCATAATGAAAGACAATGCTGTCCAGGCTCGAGACGCAACGTGCTAGACAGTTAATCAATAGTGTTCCTCTCTCGTGTTATGCTCGCCGTCGAGTTTTCGAGTTTGCATCGCTGCACTTCTCGATGCGGCTCTGCAACCGTTCTACACGAATTATTCGTATCGAAAGTTTCGGGGAAATGGGAGAGACGAACTGTCCGGATAAACGATCGTTTGGGAAATGTATCGTGATTAAATACGAATTATGCAAAATTACCCTGGTAGATTGTTTCCTGTCGCTGAAATACGAAATTCTGCAAAATTTACTTGCTACGGTTTCGTTACAGTTTCATTTTGCAAGGATTGGCTAAAAATATAAATCTGACTATCTAATACTTGACCACCTTTGACCTCTAGTTGAATTTTTGTTATTTTTATTTCACAAGTGAAATGTAGTTTTTAACATATAAATATAATCTAAGAATTATCCAATTGACATACAAAGTTATGAGGATGTAATTTGTGTATGACTTTGTTTCGTAATAAATTGTTACTTTCCGTAATGTTTATTTATTTTTAACAAATATCTACAGCACCGATATTTAAAGTATTGTAAATAAATCTTTATTTATCTTATTCGGGATTTGCATTTATTTTCGTGTTTAATAAAAAGTTTTGGAAACAATCAATATTTTGAGTATTAATTAGTGTATTTGATTTAATGGGGTAACTAAAAACCACTATACATTCAGTTAATTTTATATACGTATGATAAAAACATAGCTGAAACTATGTTAATTTTCAGTCAAATAGTTTTTGAAAAATAGATATTCGTTTTAGAAATAAAAAAAAATCCGTTCAAATAAAATAGCGGAATAATATAATAATATAATAGTAGCACAGAGAAATAGTAAAATAGTATAGTAAAATCGTTGGACAATGAATAGCAGCATAATGGAATAATGAAATAATTAACAGTTTAGTGATGAATGTGGAACAGTGGAATAGCAACAGAAAATTAGCAAAATGGTAAACTAGTGGAATGATAAAATAATTGACTAACAAATTAGTAAAACAATAAACACAAAAATTATATAAATAGTAAAGTTGATAAAATAATAGAATAATAAAATAATAAATAAATCATAATCAATTTAATTATTTATTTTCAGTAAATTTCTTCTAACTACATTTAACTTTATTTTAGTAACCATTATGTCAAATGCCTGAAATTAGTTACAGTTAGATAAGTAAGGCCATTCCTATTATAATGATCAATTAGTACAAATATAAATTTATACGTCACTCAAGCAGGGTGATATTCAATAGATAAGTAAAGCTATTCCTATTCTAATGAGCAATTAGTACAAATATAAATTTATACGTCACCCAAACAGGGGTGATATTCGATTTAAGTTAATGAATTCAATTCTATCTAGTTATGGTAATTTATTAATTTTGGTACCTCAGTATAAATTATTTCGTTAGCACCGTTTTATAAGACACACTTTGTACATCCAAGGAGTGGGTATTTAAATTTCAAACTCGTATCATTAAGGAACGAAATTCGTCCTGCTACCAACACAGGAGTTGTTCGTTAGCAAACTTTAAATGGATTTGCAGTTCCTAAGATTATAAACAGCGTCTCGATTACTTGATTAAAGTTCTGCTAATAAGACGAAGGAAAATTGATCCCTCTGATAATTTCTCGGGATTTACTCGCCTTAATCCCCCTCTGTGTCTCTCGAAAATCGCTAGAGCTACTTCTAATTATACGACATTTTAAATTTATCTCAACTTTTCTTTGAAAGCTTTATAATTCATTTCGAAATTTTGTTTCTCGCTGCTGATATAATTAGATTAAACGACCGGTGAGTGGATCTTGTAAGAGACAAACTATTCGAAGAAATACATGTTTGTATCCTCTGTATTAGTATTAATGAACAGGGATTTCAATTAAATTAATTGGGTAGGAGTAATTTATAATTAATATTAATTACTATTGTTAAATCGTACATTGTACTTGCAGTTTAATTATTCTGTTTCACATATACATTTTTAATGTGTTTCGTTTATAACGTTTAGAAGAAATAAAAATTGTAAACATTGTTCCTATTTAAAATAAATGAATTTATGAAGCAGTCATTCATTATAACAATCTTATAATAATTATGATTTTGCTTCCGTAAAAACGAAATAAGTAAGAAATTATAATTTATAAACGTGATATTTTTTAGATCAAATGAAATACAAGAAACTGTTAAGAGGAATTTTGGATGATGAAAATCAAATATTTGCGTCAAATAACATAACTAGCACCTTGTAGGTCCGCAGTGACGACACATCGTATTGGCCGACAATGACGCCACGAATTAAGTGTTTCGTGCTGCCATCTGCGATGCGCATTTCTGTTTTACCGACAATTCGGATAAAAAATCTGCATGATCCATGGATCTTGCTATTAAAAATTTAATAGAAAAATTAAGTTATATAATAAAGTTATATAATAAAAGTGTAGAGTGTAGAATAGCGTACGTGGTACCTTTTATCAGATAAAATGTTATGTTATTTACTTAATTCTTCCTAAACTTTTTTAGAGATTTTATACTTGATCTATGCAATATAAAATTTTGTAATTAATATCAGTAATACAATTACATTAGTATTCATTCTTAAAAATCTTATACTATATCAATTTTTGAAATTATTCGCATGAAAGAAATTCCAAGAAAATTTAACAATTCAACATATTTTTTAATTGTATAAAGTATTCGAATGATATTGTCTATGAAAATTGCTAAAAACCAAAAAGTCGTTACATACAGATCAAATGAAATTCAATTTTATCTTAGCGATAAAAATTCTTATCGTGCTTTAACCCTGCATTATCTGAAATTCACCTTAACCACGTCCCAGCAAAGTGCACTATCAATTCAAAAACTTTTACAAATATCTTGTAACTGTGCCAATACTTTGTCGATCTATTAGAAGTATACTCGAACTTAGAACCTAAAAATTGAAAAGAAAACTCCGGCGCGTTTGAACTTTAAAGTATATTCAAAACGCAGTAACTTCGACTATAAATCATCTGGATGCAGTGTAAAACTCACGGAAATTCGTTATCAGCTGACAACCAAGCTGCGATAAGATGTCCCGAATTCGATCAATGAAAATGTTCGAGCGATACATACTTTTGCGAACTAGTTTGATTTATTAGAAATTTTGGAAAGTCGTTCGATGCATAAGAAATTTCTATATACATATAGTTTAATTTATCGAAAACTTTCTTCATACCGAAACACAAAATTATACAGAAATTGACTAGGACGCTGGGTGCAAGAAATTTTTCGAAATTAAAAAAGACGTGTAACTAGAGAACACAGTTCGGATTACGCAATGCGTTGTGCCGTGTACGCTTGTACATAACTTCCTGTTCTTGTCTGCTTTTTTCTACAGTGGTATCTTGGCTCTTCAGTTGACAACGTTTCATTATGTTGTAACGGCACATCGTAGATTTAATTATTGCCTGAGTGAAATTAATTGAAGGATCTTTTGATTACGCTGTGGCCAGTTATTGCTGGGTCAGGCGTTTCTACTTTAATGATTTTAGTTTAGAAAACTAGTAATTTTGAATTTGGGACTTCGAGAC